AGTATGTTGTGTCTTTGTTTACATTTATTTCCAAATTGTTTTTTATTTCTGCCTTAATTTTGCTATTTACCCCAAAGCAATTCAGGAACAAGTTGTTTAGTTTCTATGTAATTGTGTGGTTTGGAGATATCTTTTTGGTACTGATTTCTATTTTTATTTCACTGTGGTACAGGAGTATGGTTGGTATGCTTTCACTTTAAAAAAAAAATTTTTAAGAGTTGCTTTATGGCCAAGCGTGTGATCAGTTTTGCAGTATGTTCCATATGCTGATAAGAAGAATGTATATTCTGTGGTTGATGGGTGGAATAGTCTGTAAATGTCTGTTAGGTCCAATTGACCAAATGTCAAATTTATGTCCAGAATTTATTTGTTAGATTTCTGCCTCTATGATCTGTCTAACAATGTAGGTAGGACGTTGAAGTCCCCAGCTATTATTGTGTGGCTATCTAAGTCTTTTCCTAGGTCTAGAAGTACTTGTTATATGAATTTGTATGCTCCAATGGATGGGGGCATGTATATTTATGATAGTTAAGTCTTCTTGTTGAACTGAACCCTTTTATCACTATTTAGTGCCCTTCTTTGTCTTTTTTTTTTCACTGTTGTTTGTTTAAACTCTGCTTTATCTTGCATAAGAATAGTGACCTCTGCTCTTTTTTGTTTTCCATTTGCATAATGTTTCTTTCTGCAACCCTTTACCTTGATCCTATGAGTGTCTTTGCATGTTAGATGGGTCTTTTGAAGATAGAAAATGGATGATTCTATTTTTTATCTAACTTTCCACTCTGTGCCTTTTAAGTAGGGCATTAGACCATTTACATTCCAGGCTAAAATTGATATGTAGGTTTTAATCCTATCATGAAGTTGTTAGCTGGTTGCTTTGTAGTTTCTATTGTGTGGGTGGTTTATAGGATCTGTGGGCTATGTACTTTAGAGTATTTTTTTGGTAGTGGCTAGCTCTTTAATTACCATGTTTAGAACTCACTTAAGGATCTCTTGTAAGGCTAGTCTAGTGGTAATACATTTCTCTGTCTCTAGTGGTAATACATTTCTCCTGTGCTTATGAAGCTTAGTTTGGCAGGATATGAAATTCTTGGTTAGCTTCCAATCTTTCCTGGCTTGTAAGGCTTCTGCTGAGAAGTCCACTGTAAGCCTCAAGGGGTGCCCTTTGTACATGGCCTGACCTTTTCTCTAGCTACCTTTAAGATTTTTTTCTTTACGATTGACATTGAACAGTCTGGTGATTATATGCCAGGGTAATGTTAGTTTTATGTAATATCTTACAAGTTCTCTGAATTTCTTGTATCTGAACGCCTACCTCACTTGCAAAATTAGGGAAATTTTCTTGAATTATTAGGGAAAAACAAGAACAAACTCACCCCAAGCTAGCAAAAGAAAACAAATAACTAAAACCAAAGTAGAATTGAATGAAATTAAGACCCAAAAATCCATTAAAAGAATCAATGAAAACAAAAATTGGTTTCGTGAAAGAATAAAGAAGAGTGATAGCTAACTAGTGGGGTTTGACAAAGAATAAAAGAGAGAAGGATCAAATAAACACAATTAGATATGACAAAGGTGACATTACAATCAATCCCACAGATATACAAAAGACCCTCGGAGACTATTATGAACACCTTTATGCACACAAACTACAAAATCTAGAGGAAATGGATAAATTCCTGAAATATACAATCTCTCAAGATTGATCTAGGAAGCAAATGAAAACTGAAACAGAACAATAATGAGTTCTAAAATTGAATCAGTAAAAATAAATAAATAAATAAACCTACAAACCCCCAAAGCCCCTGGACTATCTATTACAAATTCATAGCCAACACCATACTCAACAGTCAAAAACTAGTCTCATTCCATCAGGTGTGGTGGCTCATGACTGTAATCCCAACACTTTCAGAGGCCAAGGTGGGAGAATACTTGAGCCCAGAAGTTCAAGGCCAACCTAGGCAGCATAGCAAGAACCCATCTTAATAAAAAACAAAACAAAACAAAAACAAACAAGCAAAACTAGACTCATTCCTTTTGAGAACTCTCCCACTCATAGTCAACATGGCACTGGAAGTCCTAGCCAGAGCGATCAGACAAGAGAAAGAATTAAAAGGCACCCACATAGGAAAAGAAGAAGTCAAATTATTTCTCTTCACAGACAATATAATTATACACATAAAGACTCAGCCAAAACATCCTGAAACTGAAAAATGACTTCAGTAAAGTTTCAAGATAAAAAATCAATGTATATAAAAATCATTAGCATTTCCATGTACCCATAATGTTCAAGCTGAGGGTCAAATCAAAAATGCAATCTCATTACAATTGCCCAAAATACAAATTGCCCAAAAAATAAAATGTCTAGGAATATATCTTTAAAAGGAGGTAAAAGATCTCTACAAGGAAAACTACAAAACACTGCTGAAAGAAATCAGAGACAATACAGACAAATAGAAAATCATTCCATACTCATGGATTGGAAGAATCAATTTTGTTAAAATAGCCATACTGTCTAAAGCCATCTGCAGAGCCAATGTTATTTCTACCAAGTTATCAATGTTATTTTTCACAGAACTAGAAAAAACTATTCTAAAATTCATATGGAACCAATAAAGAGCCTGAATACTCAAAGCAATCCTAAGCAAAAGAACAAAATCACAATCATTAAATCACCCAACTTCAAACTATACTGTAAGGCTACAGTAGCCAACACAGCACCATACTGGTACAAAAACAGGCAAATAGGACAATGAAACAGAACAGAGAACCCAGAAATAAAGCCACACATGTACAGCCATCTGATCTTTGATAAAAGCTGACAAAAATAGGAAATGGGAAAATGGCACCTTATTCAACATATGATGCTGGGATTGCTTGCTAGCTACATGCAGAAGAATGAAACTGTACTCCTCATACAAAATTTAACTCATGATGGACTCGAGATTTTAAATGTAAGATCTCAAACTATTATAATCCTAGAAGTAAACCATAGGAAAACCTTTCTAGATATCAGTTTTACAAAGACTTTATGACTAAGTCCTCAAAAGCAATTGCAAAAAAATGAAAAATTAACAATTGGCACTTAATCGAAAGAACTGTATAGCAAAAGAAACTATCAACAGAGTAGACAATCTACAGAATGGGAGAAAATATTCACAAACTATGCATCTAACAAAGGCCTGATATTCAGAATCTATAAAGAACTGAAACAATTGAACAAGCACAAAACAAACAACACCATTGAAAAATGGGCAAAAGACATGAACAGGCACTTCTCAAAAGATGACATGCAAGTGGCTAACAACGGGAAAAAAAATACTTCACATCACTAATCAGAGTAATGCAAATCAAAACCACAATAAGATACCATCTCACATCAGTCAGAATAGCTATTATTAAAAAGCCAAAAAACAACAGATGCTGGCAATGCTTCAGAGAAAAGGTAATGCTTATACACTATTGATGGGGATGTGAATTAGTTCAGCCACTGTATAAAGCAGTTTGGAGATTTCTCAAAGAACTTAGAACAGAGCTACTATTTGATCCAACAATCCCATTACTGGATATGTATCCAAAAGAAAATAAATATTTCTACCAGAAAGATACCTGCACTCATATGTTCATTGCAGTACTGTTCACAATAGCTGACAATCAAGCTAGGTGCTCACTAATGGTGGATTGAATAAAGAAAATGTGGTATATATATACTATGGAATCCTATGCAGCAATAAAAAGGAATGAGATTATGTCCTTTGAAGAAATATGGATGGAGCTGGAGGCCATTATTCTAAGCAAAGTATTTCGGGAACAGAAAACCAATACCACATGTTCTCACTTATAAGTGAAAACTAAACACTGGGGGAAGGGAAAGGGAAAATATTGAAAAACTATTGGGTACTATTCTTAGCACTATGTGATGGGATCAGTCATACTCCAAACATCTCAGCATCATGTAATATACCCAAGTAACAAACCTGCACTTGTACTCCCTGAATCTAGAATAAAATTTGAACTTATGAAAATAAATATATAATAAAGTAAATTTTTTATGAAATTTAAAGGGTCTGTAATAAGAAAATAGTCTCAAAAAGAGCAATGAGATTGGAAAATTTATATTTTTTATTTCAAAATAAAGCTACAGTAATAAAAACAGTGTAAGATCAATTGATTCATGGGAAAGATTGTGAATCTAAATACATATGTACACATATATGGACAACTGAACTTAAATGCACAAAGTCAGTGGAAAAAACTGTTTTAAAAAATGGTACTAGAATAAATGGACATTTGTATGAGTAAATAGAAGATTCAGTCCCCATTTCACACCATGGACAAAAATTAGTTCACTTAATATCATATATCTAAATATAAAAGTTTAAAAATATAGAGCATTCTAGAAGAAAAAGTTAGAGGAAATAAGGAAAGTCAATTAAAAAGAAAATGGATAAACAAATAGTACAAAATAAAGCACTACTTAGCAATGAAAAGGAATAAAACAACATTAAGACTGTGTACTATATTATTTCATTTATATTCAGTGTAAGAACAGAAAGTCATTGCCTCTGGCATGGAGTGAGGCAGTTAAAAAATGGCTGGAAAAGTTAATGAAGAAATTTTCTATAGTGATCAACAAACAAAAAGAAAGATAAATATTACTTCTAGCTGAGGAAGATTAAAAACTGGGGTGGAGCAATAAGAAATGGTTTTATGTAAGTATGGGCATTTGAGCTGGGTCTTGGAGGATGAGAAGGGAGTGGGCCTTAGACATGGTATAAAAGGAATGATAAACAGTCAAATTTCTGCACCTTAAATACCAAAAAATACCACAGCATTTTCTTTCCATGCCACAAATGTCAATGGATTCTTCCCCATACAATCTCAAGGTTAATAAACAAATGTATGCTTCTGCCCTTCAAACAGGCTATCTGTCTTTCTAAGAAACCGTTTGCATTCTGAATGAATTGCATATTCTGACTGAAATATTTGCTGTAGGTAACATTTTGTTATTTCTTGGCATCATAGATGGAGGGAAAATCCACCTAGCATCTCTTAAACTGCCTCTCAATATGCAGTCCTGTTCCCCAAGGCTTTTCCTTTGACAGACCACTGCCTGCTGTGCTAATTCGGTTGACTAATTTGCAGTGTAGAAGAGTACTCAGAGGGAGACCCCTCTGTCCAGCAGCCTGCCCCACCCTGTTCCAATAGGAATCCAAATTAGGAAATATCCAGTTTCTGCAGATTCACTTCTGCTTAGTTATCTCAAAGCTAGTCCGCTTTCTCATGCAATTCCTGTACCATATCAGAAATTCATGGAAGTTTTGAACATGAGTATGATGCAGTTCCCATACTGATGCAGTTTTTTTCCTGTTCCTTTTCTATTTGTGAAAAATTATGGAGTGCATGAAAAATTTTGTTAGAAAATAATGTGCAGTGTATACAATGTGGTTCCATCAAGACAGAGTATTCAGTGTCCATCACCCAAGTACAATATATGTACAATGTTAAGTATTATTTTAAGTACAGTATAGTGTTAAATACGGTCGTCCTACTCCGCTATCAAAACTTGAATTTATTCATTTTATCTTACCATATGTTTGTACCATTTAGCCCACTTTTCTCTATCCTTTCCCCGCCCACCCACTCACCTTCCCCAACCTCATTATGTATTTTCCACTCCTAAATATAAGTAAGAACATGCGATATTTGTCGTTTTGTGCCTAGCTTATTTCCCTAAAGATAATGATTTCCAGTTCCATCCATATTGCTGCAGATCACATGATTTTATTGGTAGTATTCTATTTTGTATATACGTCGCATTTCCTTTATTCATACACTTGATAGACAATCAGGTTGATTCTATATGTTAGCTATTGTGAATAGCGTTGCAATAAACATGTAAGTGCAGGTACACTTTTCATACATTGATTTTTTTTCCTTTGGGTAGATACCTAGTAGTGGGATTGCTGGATCGAAGGGAAATTCTATTTTTAGTTTTTTGAGAAATCACCATACTATTTTCCATAGTGGCTGTACTAGCTAAAATTCCCACCAACAGAATGTGAAGAAAAGAGAACTCTTTTCTTCAATTCTTTCTTCAACAGAATGTGAAGAAAAGAGTTATCACATTCTCTCCAACTTGTTTTTTTGTGTGTGTCTTTTAATAATAGCAATTCTAGCTGAGATAAGACGATACATCACTGTGGTTTTGATGTGCATTTCTCTGATGATTAGTGATATTGAGCATTTTTATACCCCTATTGGCCATTCGTATGTCTTATTTTGATAAATGTTTATTCATGTCCTTTGCCTACTTTTTAATGGGATTATTTCATTGTTTTTTATTGAGTATTTTAGTTTCTTCTATATTCTGGATATTCACCCCTTGTCAGATAAATAGTTTCCAAATATTTTCCCATTCAATAGGATGTCTCTTCACCATCCTGATTATTTCTTTTTTTGTGAAGAAGCTTTTTAGCTTAATAAAGTCCCATTTGCCTATTTTTTGGTTTTGTTGCCTGTGCTTTTGAGTTCTTAGTCATAAATTCATTGCCTAAACCAAGAATTAGGGGATTTTTCCCTAAATTTCATTCTAGTAATTTTATAGTTTTGTGTCTTGCATTTAAGTCTTTAATCCATTTTAAGTTGATCTTTGTATATGATGAGAGATGGGGGTCCAGTTTCATTCCTCTGCATGTGGTTCTCCAATTTTCCTGGCATCATTTACTGAAAAGGCTACCTTTTCTCCAATCTAAGATCTTTCTTGTTTTGTCAAAGATCAGTTGGCTGCAAATGTGTGGCTTTGTTGGTAAGTTCTCTATTCTGTTCTATTGGTCTGTGTGTCTATTTTTGTACCAACATCCTGCTTTTTTGGTTACTATAGCCTTGTAATATATTTTGAAGTCATAAAATGTGATGCCTCTAGCTTTTCTTCTTTTTGCTTAGGATTTCTTTGGCTATTCAAACTCTTTTTTGATTCCATATGAATTTTAGGATTGGTTTTGCTAATTCTGTAAAAAATGACATGGTTATTTTGATAGGAATTACGTTAAATCTGTAGATTGCTTTGGGCAATGTAATCATTTTAATGATATTGACTCTTCTGATTCATAAGCATTGGATGTTTTTCCATTTATTGGGATAATATTCAATTTCTTTCAACAGTGTTTTGTAGTTTTTCTTGTAGAGATCTTCTACCTCCTTGGTTAAATTTATTCCTAGGTATTTTATTTTTTTGTAGCTATTGAGACTGCCTTTTTAATTTCTTTCCTGGCTTGATCACTATTTGTGTATAGAAATGCTGCTAATTGATTTTGTAAGCTTCAACTTTACTCCTGAATTTATTTTCCAAATCTAGGACTTTTTATTATAAAAACTTTCAACCATATGCAAAAGTAAAGAGAATACCATAAAGAATGCCCCTGTTACTCAATTTTACAATACCCACATTTTGCCATTCTGATTGATTTCTCTCTTTTTTTTTTTTTATTGTTCTCTCTTACCGCTTAAGTGGAAAGGATAATTTTTTCTCACTATAAAAATGCTTTAATGGTGGTGTCTGCACGGCATGTGTTGTCAAGAAAGAACAGTAAATGCCCTCCCTGCTGCCTTCCCCTGGCCTCTAGCAACTACTGCCCTACTCTCTACTTCTCCGTGATCAACTTTTTCAGCTTTCACATGTGAGTGAGAAGATGCAGTGTTTTTCTTTCTATGCCTGGCTTATTTTACTTAACGTAATATCCTCCAAGTTCATCCATACATCCATGTTGCCACTAATGACAGAATTTTGTTCCTTGTTTTTGGATTCTTTTGGAGTTTTTGATCCCTTTATAGGAGAGGAAGGGTAGGGCTCTATCTTTGAGCTCAAGTCATGGTCTTTCCTAGATGCTAGCCTGAGTTAATAACTTTACAATATTGGACAGTGCTAGGAACCTGCAAAAAAACAAAAAGGGTCTTGTATTTATACATGATAGATAATTAATCTAATTGTGTTAGGTATTATGTTGGAATTAAAGAGGAAGTGTTTGAGTTGTATAAACAGGGTTCAGATCCCAGCCTTACCACATTCTCAGGCAGCAAATTAACTTTTCTGAGCTTCATTTTCCTCATCTGTAAAATGAAAATGTTAATAGTATCTATTTCCTGGAATAGTTATGAGGGTAAAATGAGATAATGCATCTAAAGCTTCCTCATGTGCCTAGCACACAGTAACTGCTTAATAAATATTTAAAAGAATTATTGTAATCTTCCATCATTGCTGGATCTGGTACCAAACTTAAATACTTTCATGTAGGTTCAGATTTCTTACACCTAGACTTTTCAAGAATAGGTTTGTAAAAGAATCATAGTTTATAGAATAATTTAATTTTATCTAACCCTAAAAGCAGTACTTAAAAAAACTGTTAGATATATATACATCCTATTTGTCCAAATAGAGCTTTTTGGAAAGCCAGGAATCCCAAGGCCTCTGGCTCTTGTTTTCCTCATCTGGAAAATGAAATTCCATTTTCATAAAATTTAACAAAGATATGCACACTTCTACATAGATGGAATTACATCCTCAGGTTATGGTGCTGTGGGTTTTTCTTATTGAATGAAGGGATCTATGTCTTCTCAAGCTTGATACGTAAGGAAGGAAGAGAAGATGTAATGAGGATTTAAACAGATTTATTGAAAATCATATTTGGAATGCATGAGTTGCAGCCCCAAGATTAAGGCAAGTGTCTCTCAGTACATTTTCTTCAGTAGTAATAGACAGGAAAAGGCTTTTCCTTTTAAAATTATTCTGTAATAAGAAATGGTTTAAACTGGAGAACTTCTTTATTCAGTAATTTGGACAGATCAAGGGATACAATGAAAATATCATTCAGTAACAGAACTAAAGCTGTTCTAACAGAACTATGTCAGTCTGAATTAGAAAGAGATGGTCATGACAATTGACAGCCATCATGCTGGTACACTCACCACAGGACAGACCTGAGCCAGATAGTCTCATTAATTCCTGTCCCTGACCTTCCTCAACACTACCCCTCTGAATTCTGTTCGAAACCCTTGAGTGGCTTCTCTTTTGTCTCAGAATAAGGTTTCCAAAACTCAAAACTTAGCATACCCTGAAAGTCCCTGGATGGTCCAGACCCTACTGACTTCCTTAGTAATTCTACCCTCATTCATGTGTTTTAGCCACACCATCCTCAAATGAAACATACTCCCACTGCCACGGGGCCTTTGCAAAGACTGTCCTCTCTGCTTGGAATGCCCCAGTGGGCTCTTCTTCATGCTTTAGACCATAGCTCAAGCGTTTATGGTACCATTGAATATCTTCTTCATAACTCTCAAAATTATAATCAATAACTAATTATGCAATTAATTTGTTAATATTATAGGTGTTTACATTTCCCATTACAATAGAAATGTTATGAGCATAAGGACTGTCCTTAATATGCTGACCATTCTATTCCTAATGTTTGTATAGGACAAATGTTCAATAAATATTTATTGACTATGTAAATGAATGGATTTTCATTCTCTACCAATATCAGAGCTTGGGCTATAAACCTCTAAGTGCAACATATCTTTTTTTTAATTTTTTTCCCCATTTATTTATTTTATTGCATTTTAGGTTTTGGGGTACATGTGAAGAACATGCAAGATTGTTGCATAGGTACACACATGGCAGTGTGATTTGCTGCCTTCCTCCCCATCACCTACATCTGGCATCTCTCCCCTTGCTCTCTCCCCAGCTCCCCACCCCCCACCGTCCCTCCCCTATTTCCCCCCAACTGACCCAAGTGTGTAGTGCTCCCCTCCCTGTGTCCATGTGTTCTCATTGTTCAACACCCCCCTCTGAGTGTGAATGGAAACTTATGAGTCACTCAACTCCATGAGCGCTGGCTTCTGGTGACTTGTATACCTGTGATATCTTGTGTGTGTATGTGGATAAATATCTATTGATCTATGCCCTCACCTGTTTTCTCTTTCCCTGGGTTGCTTTTACTCCTAGATACCCTGCCAGGTAACCTATGATTTCCTCATTTTTGGCATCATTTTCCTATTACTGGTCTTTTTTGCTTTTCCCAATCCCCTCAGAGGCCAAGACCATCCTGAAATCTGGTGGTCTCATTGGTATTCACCATTCATGGCTCCCAGGCTTTTGATTTAATGGCTCTTTTACTTTCAAGTCCTGCCTTCTTCCCTGCCAAGATATTTAGTTATTGTTATTCATAGAAAATAATTCAAAAAATAGATTATTCTCTCTCTCTCTCCATCTCTCAGCTAATGGGGGCACTATTATTGGTTTTAGGGCTATGAACTTTAGGACAAAGAAAATTTTTTAAATCCTTGGTTGAGTTTCAGGAGCTTCATGATATTTTTCACTGAATACCATGCACCCTTTTATAAAATAATGATGATATGCCTGGCTCTTTAAGAGGATGCAAATTGTACAACTAAGACTTGGGAATTGAGAGCTTTTGAAAAATAATTGAAACTTTCATACTGTTTACACAACTATAGTTGTGATTTATTTATTTATGTGTTCATCAATCTAACAAGCATGTGTTCAGTTTCTAATATGAGTTAGGCACCATCTTTACACCTAGTTGGTGATAGAATGATGTAGAGGGCAGATGAAAGTCCTGTCCTCAATGAGGCATACATTCATCTTGCAAGAAATGAAGAGTAAACAGTAAAATATCTATTTATAGTGAGTACAATGCTAGAATATTATGAGTTAGCTATAATCACTGAAAATCCGTTTTCTCCTCCATGGTAAGAAATGTATTCCTGCTCTAACTTGGCCATGCTATGTGCACTGTTCAATTATAGCAGTGTTTTTCTTTTTCTTTTTAAAGTTTTATTTTAGGTTCAAGGTACATGTGCAGGTTTATTATTTAGGTAAACTGCATGTCATGGGGGTTTGGTGTATAGATTGTTTCATCATCCAGGTAGTAAGCATAGTACCTGATAGGGAATTTTTTAATAGTCACTTTTCTCCCACCAGTCACCCTCAAGTAGGCCCCAGTGTCTGTTGTTCCCTTCTTTGTGTCCACATGTACAATATTTAGCTCCCACTTATAACTAAGAATCTACGGTATTTTTTTTCTGTTCCTGCATTAGTTTGCTTGGAATAATGGCTTCTAGCGCCATCCATGTTGGTGCAAAGGATATGATCTTGCTCTTTTTTCTGGGCTCCATACTATTCCATGGTGTATATGTATCACATTTTCTTTATCCAGTCTACCATTGATGGACATTTAGGTTGATTCCATGACTTTGCTATTGTGAATAGTGCTGTGATAAACATATATGTGCATAAGTCTTTATGGTAGAGCAATTTGCATTTCGCTGGGTATTTACTCAACAGTGGGATTACTAGGTCAAATGGTAGTTCTGTTTTAAATTCTTTGAGAAATCACCGCACCGCTTTCAATAATTATTGAACTAATTTACATAACCACCATTAATGTATAAATATTGGCTTTCCTCCACAATCTCACTGGCATCCTTTCTTTTTTTGATTTTTAATAATAGCCAATCCGACTGGTATGAGATGGTATCTTGTGTGGTTTTGATTTGCATTTCTCTAACAATTAGTGATGCTGAGCATTTTTTCATACGGTTCTTGGTCACGCATATGTCTTCTTTGGAAAAGTATCTTTTCATGTCCTTTGCCCACTTTTTAGTAGAGTTGGTTGTTTTTTACTTGTGAATTTGTTTAAGTTCCTTGTAGACATTGGATATTAGACTTTTGCTGGATACAGTTGGTGAATATTTTCTCCCATTCAGTAGACTGTCTTTTTACTCTGTTTCTTTTGCTGTGCAGAAGCTCTTTCGTTTAATTAGGTTCCATTTGTCAATTTTTGTTTTTGTTGCGACTGGTTTTTGTTTGCAGATGATATGAGTCTATAGATAGAAAACCCCATAATCTCTGCCCAAAATCTCCTAGATCTGATAAACAGCTTCAGCAAAGTTTCAGAATACAAAATCAATGTACAAAAATCAGTAGTATACATCAGCAGTATTTTTCAAAATTTTTTAAAGATTCCCTAGTGATCATGAAATTGAGAGTTTACTAATATTTTTAATGAATTTCATAGAATATATCAGAGATTATTTCACATATTAAAGGTTAGTATTGACATTTGTTTCAGATTTAAATATATGGATATCCTGGTTCTAAGGTAAAATGTATGTGACAGCAGGTCACCATCAAAAATGTATGAAGGCATGAATCCTCAGGCCACAACCACAGCACTGTGTCATCACATATGAGGTGCTTAGGGGCACCACCTATGAGGTGCTTGTTATAATGCTAACAAGACAGGCAGCTGGTTCCATTAGGACAAGATGTAGGCACACTCAAGTTCAGCTTCATTTCAAAGGATATTTCATCTCTTTAGATTTTGGATTTGAAAATACTATTTGAATGTATAGTCAAGAAGAACTAAAAATAAGTTATCACTCAGCATGAGCAACTTTAAAAATGATATTATGGGGATAGGAAGCATTGGTAGGCTTTCCTAACTATAGATATGCCACGTAATTATTAAGTTACTCCATTTACTCCATCTTTATTGAGCACTTACCATGCCCCAGGCACTGTGCCGAATAAATCACACATAGTTCTGACTCTCATCATGTTTACAATTTTCTCTTCACTTAATGGCCCTTAACCCTGACAGTGCAACAGAATCATCTGGGGGACTTTTGAAAAAAACTGATGCCCAACTCTATTCCTAGAGATTCTAATTCAATCAGTCTGGAATAAGAGGCAGAATTAACATTTTTAAAACTGTCTAGATGATTCTAATGTGCAACCATGATTGAGAATCAATGGCCTTCAGCATTCAATAAAAATCTTGTAAATTTGAATATTATTTTGCTTAAAATACCCAGAACAGTTTTTTTTCTCTCAGGGTGATAAAATAAACTCTTCTTACAAAAGTGAGAATTTTAAAATTTCTCTAAAAAATGTCAGCATCTATAAAATCCTTAAATTTTTTTATCATTTTTAAATACTAATCTTTATCATTTTAAAAACTCTTCTCCGGCTAAATATTCATTAATAATCAATTTTTAAATTATTTTTATTTTTACTTTTCACCTCAGTTACTAGTTTGAGTTATTTGTGAATTCGTGAAACAACCTAAATTTCCATTTCCTCTTAATGGTTAAAATTAAGGACAAAAATCACCCCTTAAATTTCATTTTTTAGTGACTGTTATCAAATTAAAGTTCTATATCTATACAGTTGTAGATAAAATATTTAAATTGATAACCATTTGGATATTTGTTTCATTTTGCTATGAATTATATTAAAATATTATTAAAAGTATGAGTCATACTTTTACTCCCATTAATACATTTACTAATAGCTCATTTATCTTTGCCTTGTAATAATAAATCTCCTTATAGTCAAAGTTTATCAAGAATCTGAAAAAAAAAAAAATCTCTGCCTGATTCCAGGCCCCATTTCTCTCATCAGCTTTTGTGTTTTCTCTGTTTTAAGAGTTTTTAACTGGTTAAAAAAGGGAACTCTCATCTCTAACACAGCGATTTTTGCCTTCCCTGAAGATAGGATTAAACCATCTGATTGAAGGGCTCCATTCTGCCTTATTTCCTTTTCAAATGAAGCTGAGCAAATCAGCTGAAGTAGCTGTTAGCTGTCTGTGTTTCCCCCCACGTTGGGCTCATTGCTTGTTGATGATATTCTTATTTATTCCATTCTTTGGAGATATTGATGACAACTAGAGGTATCTTTCATCTTCTCTCATCTCATGATTAGACCCTTAAGTGTGTCTGTGGCCTATGAATACAGTCACCTTGACTTGGCAGCCCACAACTATGTGGACTTAACCTCATCCCTTAAGTTCCCTGAGCCTCAATTTTCAAAGGGACAAAATAGAGAGGAAGCAAGAGAGAGAAAGAGAGCAAGGATACACTATAAGTATTAGACATAACACATGCAAACTACTCAGCACATTGTCTACACTTTCTAGGGTACAATAAATGGCATATAGTATTAATATTGAGCTGATAGCCTTTCTGTATGTTAATAATAATCCATGACGTGGTGTAAGGTAAAAGCATAACTTGGAGCTCTTGAAGACAACAGCAGTAAACCAAATGTCATAATAAAGTGAGTTACACATTTTGTTTTGTTGTCCGGTGCATATGAAACAGATGTGCTTTCATCAGGCTTTGTTGTTACATTTTTTTTTTTTTTTTTTTGGACGGAGTTTCGCTCTTGTCACCCAGGCTGGAGTGCAATGGCGCGATCTCGGCTCACCGCAACCTCCGCCTCCTGGGTTCAGGCAATTCTCCTGCCTCAGCCTCCTGAGTAGCTGGGATTACAGGCACGCGCCACCATGCCCAGCTAATTTTTTTTTGTATTTTTAGTAGAGACGGGGTTTCACCGTGTTGACCAGGATGGTCTCGATCTCTTGACCTCGTGATCCAACCGCCTCAGCCTCCCAAAGTGCTGGGATTACAGGCTTGAGCCACCGCGCCCGGCCTTTTGTTACATTTTTAAAGCACATAAAAGTTATGTTGACCCTATGTTATAGTCTATTAAGTGAGCAATAGCATTATGTCTAAAAAATGTATATAGCTTAAAAATACTTTATTGGCCCCGAATGCTAGCGATCGTCTGGGCCTTCAGTGAGTTGCAATCTTTTAGCTGGTAGAGGGCTTTGCTTCAATGTTGTTGGCTGTTGGCTGATCAAGGCAGTGGTTGCTGAAGGTTGGGGTGGCTGCGGCAATTTCTGAATGTAAGACAACATTACATTTGCCACATTGATTGATCTTTCACAAACGATTTCTTTGTAACATGTGATGCTGTTTGATAGCATTGTACCCACAGAACTTCTTTTAAAATTTGAGTCAATCATCTCAAACTCTGCCACTGCTTTGTCAATTAAGTTTATGAAATATGCTAAATCCTTTGTCATCATTTCAACAATGTTCACAGCATCTTCAACAGGAGTACTTTCCATCTCAAGAAGCCATTTTTTTTTTTTTTTTTTGTTTCATTGGTAAGAAGCAATTCCTCATTCTTTAAAGTTTTGTTATGAGATTACAACAGTTTGGGTACATCTTTAGGTGCTGTTACTAATTCTAGTTCTCTTGTTATTTCCATTACATCAACTGTGACTTCTGCCACTGAAATCTTACACTCCCTCAAAATCATCCATTTGAGTTGGAATCAACTTCTTCCAAATTCCTATTAATGTTGACCTCCCATGAATCACAGATGTTCTTAATGTCATCTAGAATGGTGAAATCTTTCCAGAAGGATTTCAATTTACTTTATCCAGAGCTATCAGAGGAATCACTATCTATGGTAGCTATAGCCATATGAATTGTATTTCTTAAATAATAAGACTTGAAATTCAAAATTACTTCTCAATCCATGGGCTGCAGAATGGATGTTGTGTTAGCAGGTGTGAAAACAACATTCATGTCCTTGTACATCTCCACCAGAACTCTTGGATGACCAAGTGTGTTATCTATTAGCAGTAATATTTTTAAAGGTATCTTTTCTTCTGAGCAGTAGGTCTTAACAGTGAGCTTAAAATGTTCATTAAACCATGCTGTAAGCTGTCATCTGGCCTTGTTGTTTCATCTATAGAGCACAGACACAGTAGATTTAGCATAATTTTCAGGGCTCTAGGATTTTCAGAATGGTAACTAAGCATTGGCTTCAATTTGAAGTTACCGACTTCATTAGTCCCTAGCAAAAGAATCAACCTATCCTTTAAAGCTTTGAAGCCAGGCAGTGATGTTTACTGTGTCACTGTGAAAGTTCTAAATGGCATCTTTTTCCAAGATAAGGCTGTTTCATTTGCGTTGAAAATCTGTTGTAATATAACCACCTTTATCAATTATCTTAGCTAAGTTTTCAAATAACCTGCTGCAGACATACAATGCCTAGTTTTTCTTTTGCTTTATGATGTTGGCGGACTTTGATACTGAATGAATAGACCCAATTTTTAATTAGGGGTTACAAAATGGAAATCGAATTCTAAGTCTATCCTTTTATTTTTGTCTCTATTATGATCATTCTACAGAGCAGAATGGATCCCCACCCAAAATTGATTGGTCATCAGAGCCGATGATGTCATGCACACCTAGAGGGGATAAGAAGGTTCATTACATGAGGCATTTGGAGGTGAGCAGGGCTGGCTTTGCAAGCTGTCCCACAAATGGCTGGAGAGAGCAGTAAAAGTAGACTAGCGAGGGGTTTATGCTGGGATTACAGTGTGGCACTGAAGTGAGGGTTTCTGTGTACAGGCAAGCTTGTGTGCTTTGTACCTTCTATAGGAGCCAAAGGGGCGAGACCAAGCTTTCCTAGTAGCCTAGATGTGGGGCAGAAAGAAAGGAAAGGAGCTATGAGGTTATAAGTTGTCAGCAGTCAACATAAAACAGTCAGACACGTTACTGCAGGTTATTTATTGGAACATTTTATAAGAAGACATTTGTCCTCGTCCACTATTTGCTAACTAACTGGCAGTATAGTTTAAAAAGGAAAGGTAGGAAAATGCTTGGTCCTTTCATTTATTTACTGATTTACTGGTTTTCAAGATAATGAATTGGTTTGCTGTCATCCTTCAAGGCAATTAATTTTGTTAATGTTATAAACACATGAATCGAAACATTTGATTAGTTTCAATTCATTGTGTTTTTTTATCATTATTGAACAATAAATTGTATTAATTTTAGCAAGTGAGAGGGTCGTTAAATCGGTCTTTGAAGTCCTTTTGTCATGACTCAGGTAGGTTTTGGTCACTTCCTAGCAACCCACTCTGGGTATGTGACAAGGTTTTTCTTGCTCATATTAATTTTCAGGGCCCAGGCCCAGAATCAGCTATTTCTTTATGGAGCCCAGGTTTCTTTTAGAGACAAATTTTACTTCAATACCACAATCTGGGCACTAGCTCATTGCTACTGGGAGGATCACTGTCTCTAGGCTTCTCCCTTCATTAGCATCCAGAGCTGGGAAATACACACAGGCATACATACATATATAAAGATAAAAGACTGCATACGTTTATTTTGCTACTTCTAATTCAAATTTAAGCATACTTAACTTTTTCTCTATTGTATGTGGACCTCCTTCCTTTCACACAGAGAATCTTGGTTCTCAAGGACAGCAGGGATGATAGAATGAAAATATGCTTTAATTGCTCATTTGATTATTTATATATTATACCTATAACAGTATCCAAATAATAATATTGATACTAATAATAATATTAGTAAATATGATTCCTGAAAATATGACAATTATTTTTGCAGATGATTTACACATTCTCCTCCTATATTTCTTGGAGTTCTACTATATCTGCATTGTCAAAATATGTAGTACCTATGAATTCTCTCCTCCCCTTCTTAGCTCTCACTCAATTTTAATTCTACAGGTTCCTATAAACTTACAACTGATGCTCATATCTATGTCTCTCTTGTTACTGGGTAAAAAACATTATAAGGCGATCACCATTTTTTTTATTATTTTTAGTTCTTTCTCAGGTTTTGTCACCACATTTTCATGTTTTTCTAATTTTGATCTGTATTGTTCTTTAATGTCCTATCATTTTCTTAATCTCTTTTAGTTTTAAAATTGTAGATACAGTATTATTGTTTGGGAGCATATCTTTCTGGCATGCTTCCATTGTCTGCAGAGATCTTATTCTGCCCCTTATTCTCTTTTTACTTAAAATAACTGACTATGTGTTTGGCCTTCATGCTTTGCCTTTCCATTTTTATGTGTAATTGGTTCTCTGCACTTTTAGAATGGGGCGTGGTTCAGGAAAGCTTTTATAACTTCACAGAGCTCTCTTGTCTGTTGCTTCATAATGGTCCAAAATAGGCAGCCTGTTTCCTGAGGTCTCCCAGCTCTGCTCTCCGACGCAATGCTGTCTTTCCTTGTCCCTGGTGTCCATCTCCTGCTCAATTTTGATCCTACTCCCAGCAGTTATTCCTGGGGGCAGGCCCATCCTAGCAGGAGCTCTGGCTATTTTGAGAATTTATCTTGAGCTTTGGCTGAGGGCTGCAGCTCCCTCACACCTCTCTAGCCCTAGATTTCTTGTACTCATCCGATGTGGGAGAGAGTAAACCCCACCCTCATTTCAGCTGCTGTTCTCTAGTTAGCCTGTGGCACTTTCCAGTGAATACCCATTAACCATTTAGGGTTCTCTGTTCTCAGCTCTATAAAATGCTGACCTGTACTTTCACTCTTGTTCTCCACAAAAATGCCAATACCTCGGAGATTTTGAGGCTGTTGGTGGCTTACATTTTAGGGTTTGCGGGGACACCTTCTCACCTAGTTTTGTAGTCAGTGTTATTCATGTTTTGCCATATAATTGCTTGAATTTTATGGAGGGATTCAGAATTGAAAAACTTTGCAGTCATGCCACCATCTGCCCAGAATTCTCCTGCATATGTATATTTTTCACTTTGCTAATATAATAGGCAAGGAAGTTTTAAATTTTAATCTTGTTATCATTCTATTATAAAAATAATATATGCCCATTGAGGATATTCAGAAAACTCAAAAAGTACATAGAAAACATAAAAATTGCCTATAATTTTGTCACCCAAGATACATAAACTACTAAAAATTAGTAGTATTTTTAGCCTTTTTTAATGTATAAATAAAACACATTTTATATATATGTATGTATAGTGTATAAGATTATATATGAATCAAATTGATTTAGAGTTTTATATCTGCTGTTTTACAGTTAATGTAGCATAATAAGCCTTTTCCTCTCGTCCTCAATTATTTGAAAGTTTGGTTTTTATGTGATCAAGAAGGTTCATGTATTCACAAACTTGAGAAATTCTAAAATGAATAATATTAGGTGAACTGCTTTACTAACCAGAGAAAAATTAATTTGGACATTCTCCTTAGAACATGTACAGAAAGAAATTCTACAAGAATAAAAGAGTTGAGTATATTTTAAATGAGAAATCAAAAAGAAAATAATACAGGTAAACAGGAAAATACTTTCTAAGCATACAAGCAAGTAGTCACAAAGAAAAGCATGAATACAGCTGACCATGTGAAAAGCAGTATCCTTCTTAGGCATTCAGCTATCATGTCACCGTAGCCTTCAGCAATGACTAAGGATCCTAATCCTCTGTTACCCAGGTTAATAAAGATCATCTTCATTGGCAAGGTACTAAATCAGAATCTTAGAATGAAAGAATCCACTTTTCTAAGTGGTTAACAGTACCTTCCCAATTAATTCATCCCTGAGAATCCAGCAGCCAGCAGTTTAAAACATTGCATTATAGCATATAGTGTTGAAGGAGATCTTATGCAGAATCGGTTGACAATAAAAAGTGTGATGGCTCCTCTTGTTTAGCCTCCTGGTTGGTCTGCGGGACAGTGAATTTCAGGAATCCAAATTTATACAAAATTTCAAACTTGTAGAAAATTAAAACAAGAAAATACACTTATAAAAGAGATAAATTTCAGAGGTGATCATTAACACCTCAAGATTATTTTACTTTCTCAAATTCACTTAATGTTAGCTTCTTGCAGTGCCTCTAAGATTCTCTGCAGGAGGCAATAAGGAAAATACAAAGTTAACATGCTTGGGGCCATTGCCAGTGAAAGATTATAAGAAACAGATAAAACAACTTCTGAATATTCTGAATAATATTCAGATATATATCTCCCGAAGTAATGGTGAACTGACTGCATAAAACATTAAGGCGACCTAGGTGTTTATGAATAGAACACTGAGGCTCTGGGAAGAGACTAGGGTGAGGCAGGTGAGACACCCAGGGATTAGAATTGAAGGAGGCCCCCACTCCCAGGGCCAACCCTGCATTGTGTGACCCTGAACTCGAGTGACTTCTTAAATTGTGTGCCTTACTACCTTATTCACCTCACCTGAGCGCTGGCCCTGCCTTTTCAATGCCTAGTTTTGTTTCCAGATCTTTCCCCAAGCAAATTTATATCTCATCCCCCCACAAGGACTAAAGCGGAGTAAGCTAGTTATGTGTTAGCCTAAGGGGAAGTTCTGCTCAGCCAGACAGAGGAATAGAATGGGCTCGAGTGAGGAGCATCTTCTCTGTATTCACCCTCATCTCCTACAGAAGGAGCTATTAATAGGGACTTGAAAATGAAAAATGAGAGAGAGAGAGAGAATAATCCTGTTAAGCAATGTGCCTTTATTTGTAAGACCTGAAACTAAGCACATCCTGTGTCAGGAAGCAGGGGACATTTTGCATCAGGTTGCATCAAAAGGTAACTTCCACCTTTTAAACCTCTCTTAGTCTGTAAAACAAATAACTATATCTGGTTTGAGACTGAAATTAGTAAGTGTTATCCATGCTCACCAGGTTCCATCTCTGTCCTGGAAGAATGAAATGACTCTGAAAGCAGATAATTTTGTGTGATTTCTTTTATATTTCCCCCCTCAAAACATTTGTGGGCAAACAGCGCTCACTTAGGAAATGCTTTCATTTGCTCTATTTTCCATTAGCTTGGACTCCCATCTTGCTGGTGCTCCCCAGCACCTGTTGAGAGTTCCC